AGGCCCAGAGTTCAAGCCCCATGACCGACAAAAAAAAAAAAAAAAAATTAAACTGAAGAACATGAACAACCAAGTCCTGGTGGCACATGCTTGTAATCCTAGCTACTCAGGAAGCTGAGATCTGAGATTTGTGGTTACAAATTAGTCTGGCCAGGAAAGTCTGTAAGACTCATCCAATTAAAACACCAAAATCTAGAAGTAGAGTTGTAGTTCAAGTGACTGAGTGCTAGCATTGAGTAGAAAAAACTAAGGGCCTGTAAGCTCCCAGTACAACATGTGCATGGACACATGAGAGAGAGAGGGAGGGAGGGGAAGGAGGAGATGGAGGGGGAAAGGGAGGAAGGGAGACAGAGAGGGAGGGAGAGAAGGAGAGGGAGAGAGGGGCAGAGATAGACAGAGACACACATGGAGGGGGAAATATGTGAAATATGTTGGTTACTTTGTGGCAAGAACAGTTAAAAAATCAGCAGGAGAGAGATGTTGGTTACTTTCTGGCAAGAACTGTTAAAAACTCAGCAGGTGGGAGAGAGAGAAAGAGAGGGAGAAAGAGGAGAGAGAGGGAGGGAGATGGAAGAGGGAGAGGGAAGGAGGGTGGGAGAGCCAGAGGGAGAGAGGGGCAAAGATAGAGACACCGAGAGAGACAGGGGAAATATGTGAAATATGTTGGTTACTTTCTGGCAAGAACAGTTAAAAATCAGCAGGTGGGAGAGAGAGAAAGAAAGAGACGGAGGGAGAAAAAGGAGAGAGGGAGAGAGAGAGAGAGAGAATATTACAATTTTATTTGCTATTTCCAAAGTATTCTCCCAAGGACTTGTGACAATTCAGACGCTCTCTCTTTAATATTTGAGAGAAACCTTTTTTCACTTTACTTTCTTTGTATATTCATGAACTTTCACTTATACAATTCTTTGAATTTTATTTGTTATACTCCTCATCATCAGCGATGGGTTAGGTATTGTTCCTTTCTTTTTTTTCTTTTTTGGTGCTGGTTCTGAAGCTTGAAGTCAGCCTGGGTGCTGTCCCTGAGTTCTTCAGCTCAAGGCTAGCGCTCTACCACTGTGATCTGTAGCCTCACTAACGATTTTCTGGTGGTTCATTGGAGTTAAGAGCCTCGCGGACTTTGCTGCCCGGGCTGGCTTTGAACCGCGATCCTCAGATCTCGGCCTCCTGAGTGGCTAGGATCACAGGCCTGAGCCACCGGCGGCCAGCCCGCAGTTTTTCACGTTTTACTGATGAGAAAACAAAGTCTGGTTTACTGAGACAAGTTTCTTCTTTTTAAAAATAATGTGTTTTCAGATTCACTCAAGCCATCTGTTTTTGCTTCTCAAACTGGACATTTTCTTTGTGGGGAGGGACAAAAGGGGCCCAGGTTCCCCGAGTTGGGGGTGTGCCCCTCTCCTTCACACAACCAAAGCCGGCTCCACCCACCGCCTCCGAGACCGGCATGGCAGGGTACCGCGCTTCCACCACGGCGTTTGGACCGCTGGTGACTCCGTAGCCCACTTCCCCCTCCCCCTTCCTCGTTCTCGCTGTCGTGCGGGAGCGCCCAGCGCCGCGCTGGAGAGGGCCGGGTCAGCGACTTCCGGCGGCAAGGCGCGTCGGGATAGGTGGAGGCGTGCGGCGCGAGCGCGCCGATCACCGGAAGTGCTGTCGTTTCTCCCGCGGCAGGACCGCTGCCTTCCAGGTTGGAGCGTTGCCCCGGAAGTGCTCCCCTTACCCTAGCCAGCGGCAAACATGGCGGTGGACTCGTCCATGGAGCTGCTATTTTTAGATACTTTTAAGCATCCGAGCGCTGAGGTAAGGCTTGGCGGCTTGGTTCCGACGCCGTTTGCGGCTCTGGAGGCTCTCGCGCGCACGCACGGAAGCCGTGAGCGTCGTGGGCTTTTCTTGTGGCGCGGGTGGCCGGTGGTGCCCGCACACAGCCCGCTCCCGCAGCTGGGGTGTG